CAAAAATTAGCCAGGCATGGTGGCACGCACCTGTATTCTCAGCTACTCAGGAGGCTGAGGTGGGAGGATCACTTGAGCTGAGATAGAGGTTGCAGTGAGCCGAGATCACACATCCTGGATGACAGAGCGAGACCGTCTCAAAAAAAATAAAATTTAATAAAAAGCACTGTGAGGTTTTACAGTTTTGTTCATTCTTCAGGGCCCTGTGTGTTTTTACACTTACACTGCAGCCTCATTCAGACTGGCCCCATTTTCAGGTTTCAGAGGCCACATGTGGCCTGTGGCTGCTGTGGCCCTTTGTTAGATTTAATCTGGGGAAGATGGGTGGGTGCAAAGATGGGTGGGTGCAGAGGATAAGGGAAGCTGCCCAAAGAGGCATTTCCAGGTGACACATGCTTGCGGCCAGAGCTGCATGCTGGGGACAACTTAGTGCTGGGGGTTGTGCAGAGGTGTGGCTGAAAGGGGACCAGACCAGCAGGGTGTCCCAACTGGTGAGGGTTGTCACCACACAGCACCAGCCCTCTCTGCATTTCCTCTTGTCCTCCTGCAGTAAAAGGAAAGGACTTGATGAGTCTTGCTGCTCAATTGCCAATGGATGAACTCTTGGAGACAGCCCTTATATGAGTTATATTAGCTTAAAAAAATAAAATGAGGCCAGGTGTGGTGGCTCAAGCCTGTAATCCCAGCACTTTGGGAGGCTGAGGTGGGTGGATTACAAGATCAAGAGTTCAAGACCAGCCTGGCCAAGATGGTGAAGCCCCATCTCTACTAAAAATACAAAAAATTAGCAGGGCATGGTGGCACATGCCTGTAATCCCAGCTACTCAGGAGGCTGAGGCAGGAGAATCACTTGAATCCAGGAGGTGGAGATTGCAGTGAGCCAAGATGGTGCCACTGCACTCCAGCCTGGGCAACAGATCGAGACACTGTCTCAAAAAACAAACAAACAAAAAAAGGCCAGGAGCAACGGCTCACACCTGTAATCCCAGCACTTTGGGAGGCCAAGGCAGGTGGATCACAAGGTCAGGAGTTTGAGAACAGCCTGGCCAACATGGTGAAACCCTATCTCTACTGAAAATACAAAAATTAGTCTGGCATGGTGGCCTACACATATAATCCCAGCTACTCGAGAAGCTGAGTCAGGAGAATCACTTGAACCCAGGAGGTGGAGACTGCAGTGAGCCAAGATCATGTCACTGCACTCTAGCCTGGGTGTCAAAGCAAGACTCCATCTCAAAAAAAAGTTTCCCCCATGTCCCTTCCCAGCATGTGCCCTAGGCAGGTGTGAAGAAGTGATGTATTGCCAGCAGAATCCCGGCTGATGCCTGACTTACACATCTCACAATTGACCCTGTGCAGGCTGCAGGTGAAGCTGTAGCAGACCCAGGTCTCCCTCTTCTTCCAAGTGGTAAGAATAGCAGCCTTCATTCGCTGACATCTTCTATGTGCATGGGAGCGGGGGAGGGGGAACTATTCTAGTCACTTACTTACGTAGGTGGTAGGTCCCAAATAAGAAATGAAAGAAATACAGCATTCATTGGACTTGCTTTAAATCAAGTGAGATTTTTGCCAATTAACATCCTGCTGGGCTGCTCAGAAATCCAGCCTTGGATATGACAGGGGCTCCAGCCCTCCACAGGATTCTCTCTCGCTCACGGGGTTTTCTGGAGCACCAGAGCTGCAAGGAGCCCCTAGACCAGATCATCCATCTGCCTCGGTTACCATGGAGATGTCTATTTCTCCAGAGGATGCAATCCCTTCCTGGAGAAAGAGTCTGCTGCTTCTGTGCCACGTTGGTGGCCTTGGAGAATCTTATTGAGGGTCCCAAGGTGTCCCACACAGCCATGCTTTTATCACATCCCAAGAAACACCATGGAGAGGTGCCTACCTCTGCCCCATCTCATTCGGAGGGTTCACTCCTGTCCTCTGCTGCTCTCTGAGGCTCGCTCTCTCCCTTCCCCTCTGAGAAACTGGCATAATCTATTTAGTGGTTTCATAACTTTACATTTTTATCCTGCTGTACATAGCCTCCTCTTTATATCCCCTCAAGAGCCTATGAAAAGGGCATTATTGTCTGTGTCATACAGAGGAGAAAATGCAGGCTGGGAGGGACTAAGTTGTCCAGGCAGCAAGATAGAAAGATATTCAGATACAGACACTCTGGAGCCTGTGCTTTGTACCCTGACCTTGGCTGCCCAGGTGACAGCACCTCAGAGCCAGGAGCATGGTAATAAAGAAGCCAGCATTAACAGCAGGCATGCATGTCATTTTTTTTTTTTTTTTTTTTTTGAGATGGAGTTTCACTGTTGTTACCCAGACTGGAGTGCAATAGCACGATCTCGGCTCACCACAACCTCTGCCTTCTGGGTTCAAGCAATTCTCCTGCCTCAGCCTCCCGAGTAGCTGGGACTACAGGCGCGCACCACCATGCCCAGCTAATTTTTGTATTTTTAGTAGAGACAGGGTTTCACCTCGTTGACCAGGATGGTCTCATCTCTTGACCTCGTGATCCACCAGCCTCAGCTTCCCAGAGTGCTGGGATTATTGGCGTGAGCCACCGTGCCCAGCTGCATGTCACTTTCAAACTAATTACTCCTGGCTCCATGATTATTCTCCTCAAGGTCCTGGGGCTGGGACAACCTCCCACACTGGAAGGTGAACTTTGGAAGACCCTTCTGGAAATGCTCCCAACCTGGGAGAACAGAGCTTCAGACTTTAGACCTGGGAAGAGATCACCCAGTTCTCCTTTTATGGGGCATACAACTGAAGCCCTGAGGGGTAAACCAGGTCACCCACAAAGCTGGTGGCAAGCTGGTGAGTCTCAGTGTGGTGGCTCACGTCTGTAATCCCAGTACTTTTGGAAGGCTGAGGTAAAGGCTTACTTGAACCTAGGAGTTCAAGACCTGCCTGGGCAACATAGCAAGACCTTATCTCTACTAAAGATTTTAAAAATTAGCTGGCCGTGGTGGCACATGCCTGTAGTCCCAGCTACTCAGGAGGCTGAGGCAGAAGGACTGCTTAAGCCCAGAAGTTCAAGGCTGCAGTTAAAAGCTATAATGGCACCACTGCACTCTGGCCTAAGTGACAAAGCCAGACCTTGTCTCAAAAAAAAAAAAAAAAAAAAAGAACTGAGTCTTGGCCAGCCATGGTGGCTCATGCCTGTAATCCCAGCACTTTGGAAGGCTAAGGTGGGCAGATCACTTGAGATCAAGAGTTCAAGACCAGCCTGGGCAATGTGGTGAAACCCCTTCTCTACCAAAAATACAAAAATTAGCCAGGGATGGTGGCACCTGCCTATAATCTCAGTTACTCAGGACGCTGAGGCAGGAGCATAGCCTGAACCCAGGAGGTGAAGATTGCAATAAGCCAAGATCATACCACTTCACTCCAACCTAGAGGAAAAAGTGAAATTCTGTCCCAAAAAAAATTTTTAGTATAACAAAATATTGTGTGCACACTGGAAAGGACAACTCCGATTCATTCATTCGCACTCTCCCCAAACTCTCTCCAGCAGACCCACATTTGTGAGTGTAAAGGTTCCCAAGTTGGCAGGCTGGGTCCATCGCTTCTCAAACAGGGATGACCATGAGACTGGGATGCCCACGACCCGGCCATGGTTCCTCCTTCCTGATGTCAAGGAAACTACACTATTAATCAAGTTTATTTAGTAAATACAGAATCAATTCAGAAGACAAGTAGGAAAAAAATAAAAAAGAATCAAAACAAACTATCAGGCCAGGCACAGTGGCTCCTGCCTGTAATCCCAGCACTTTGGGAGGCCAAGGTGGGGGACATCACTTAAGCCCAGGAGGTTGAGGCTGCAGTAAGCCTAGATGGTGTCACTGCATTCCAGCCTGGGTGACAGAGACCTTGTCTTTATAAATGTATCTATATATACACACATATATATACATATGTATATCAGGTACACCTAGCTTTTCCTCCCTCAGAACTTTTCCCCTGGCAGGCACATGCCCTGCCGCACAGTGGACTCCTTCCTACCCTCTATGTCAGCTGGAATGTTGCCTCCCCAGAGGCCTTCTCTGACCACCCCGTCTGAAGGAGCCCAGCCCTGTCACATCACCTTGTTTATCTCCTTTATGGAACCTATCACAATGTCATTATCTGTTTTTTTGTTTGTTTGCTTGTTTTTTGAAACACAGAGTCTTGCTCTGCTGCCCAGGCTGGAGTGCAGTGACACCATCTCGGCTCACTGCAGCCTCCTCTTCCAGGGTTCAAACAATTCTTGTGTCTCAGCCTAACGAGTAACTGGGATTACAGGCACTCGCCACAGCATCTGGCTACTTTTTGTATTTTAAGTGGAGACGGGATTTCACCAAGTTGGCCAGACTGGGTGATCAACCTCCTGATCTCAGGTGATCCGCCCTCATCGACCTTTCAAAGTGATGCGATTAAAGGCGTGAGCCACCACGTCTGGCAACCCCGGGTCTCTTTTCACCACTGTACTTACCCCTGCAACTGAGAGTGTTGAAATAAATAAACTGAAAGCAAGAAAGGTTGACTGCTTTGAAGGAAATATTTCATCTAAACTCTGGAAAGGCTCTACTCCACACAAGCTGTGCGACATAAAGGACACCCTCTGGTGCCAGAATTATTCTCAGGGGGGAACTCAGAACCAGTTACTATCCCTTGAACTCATGCCAATGAGCTGGGCACACTTTTTCCTTAGATGGATTAATCTAATCTAAATGAAAAATTTAGATTAGATTAACCCACTTTAGAATACTCTAAGTGGCAATCTAAATTATGCAGTTACCGTTTTGATTATATTATTCTATTTTGATTAATCAAAGTGCCGCCCTAAATCCCGCTGTGGCTCAGCAGTAGGGTGGGTAGGTAGGTGGGTTTGACACAGTGGGGATTTGTCCTGTTTGGGAGGTTCAGCATCTAAATCCCCTCTAAGGAATGTCCATCTAACCTATGAAACACCCCTTTTCGAGCAGGCGGCGATGCAACAGGGTCAAGAAAGTGGAACGTACCGAAGGACACAGTGCGTAGGCGCGCTCGAAACCTTGGCCGGTTCTTTCGACAGCCCAGACACCGTCTACCCGCACTGCGCAGGCGCCGAGGCAGAGCAAGCTTTCCCTCCCCCTCCCACCTCTCCTAGAGTCAAGAGGACGCCCTCCGGCCGCAGACTTCCTGCGCAAGCGCCATCCCGTGTCCCCGCCCTCGAACCAATTGGAAGCGGCGCTGCTTGGGCGCCTAGGGCACGACGCCGTGGGTGGGGTCTGGACGTGAGGGCAGCGTGCTGGCGTCACAAGGGCGGCTATATAAGTGAACACAGGCACCGCCCCTCTGCCCCAGTTACTGAGCCGCCGCCGAGGACTCAGCAGCCTTCCCCTCGAGCCCCCTCGCTTCCCGACGTTCCGTCCCCCCCTGCCCGCCTTCTCCCGCCGCCGCCTTCCGCAGGCCGTTTCCACCGAGGAAAAGGAATCGTATCGTATGTCCGCTATCCAGAACCTCCACTCTTTCGGTAAGCTACGGGGAAGGTCTCAGGCTCGGGTGGAGCAGCCGGGCCTTCCGGGCCGGGAGACGGGTTCCGGGAATCTGCCAAGCGCTTCAGGCCTTCGTAAGCTCGGGCAGGGAAAAGATGTCCAGGGTTGCAGGGCAGCGGGATCGAGGCCTGGGCCCCGGGGTCGGACCCTGAGTGCGACCGGAAGGAGCGGGCGGGAGATCAGCGCTTGGGCGGGCCCGGCGTCTCGGTGGCGCATTTACTAATGGCTCCTGGATCTGTTCAGGCCACACCCGCCCTTCCCACCACCCTTGCGTCCCGTCCGTTACGTCACTAGCCGTTGTCACGGAGCTGAAGGGAAAGGCGGTGCCAGCTCTTAAGTGGCAGGCGTACGCACCAATGGGAATGAGAGGCTCGGCCCCGCCTCTGGAGCGCTGGTTCCGGCGGATTGCATCAGCCGGGTGGGGCACCGCCTGCCAGCCCGGGCTCCCTCGACACGTGATCGGCTTCCCAGGCAGAGAGGGAGGCTCGGGCGTTCCCTGAGTCTGAGGAAGCCGGCCGTCCCTGACTGACCTGCTTAGGGAGAGCCAGCAAATAACTCATTCGGCCTCCCCCAAGCGCTGTCGATTTCAGTGTTATTTTCTGCACACACAAAATATCTGGGGGGATGGCAGTTGCATCTGAGCCCTGACAGCTCTGAACGAGTTTAACCTATCTTTTCAGACCCCTTTGCTGATGCAAGTAAGGGTGATGACCTGCTTCCTGCTGGCACTGAGGATTATATCCATATAAGAATTCAACAGAGAAACGGCAGGAAGACCCTTACTACTGTCCAAGGGATCGCTGATGATTACGATAAAAAGAAACTAGTGAAGGCGTTTAAGAAGGTACGTCTTAAGTGAGATTACAGAAAAGTCATAATGGATTTGTCCACAAGGGGGTGCCCGCTGTGTTGTATTGTTAGCAGAGGGGTATAAATGCATTCAGGCTCTTGCTCGGCCTAATTTGTTTTGTTTCCTTTGTGCTTGCAGAAGTTTGCCTGCAATGGTACTGTAATTGAACATCCAGAATATGGAGAAGTAATTCAGCTTCAGGGTGACCAGCGCAAGAACATATGCCAGTTCCTCGTAGAGGTGAGTTCAGTCACTCTTGATTGTACTCCTCTACTGGTAAATTTTAGATCCTGTCTATTAGCTTCTGCTGGGGACATAAAAGTTGGCTGAGGCTGAGCAAAAGCACAGTTGGGTTTTAAAGTACATAGACTTACGGTTTTTTGTTTTTTCGTTTTGTTTTTTTATAAAGGTGGGATTTCACCATGTTGGCCAGGATGGTCTCGATCTCTTGACCTCATGATCCGCCTGCCTTGGCCTCCTAAAGTGCTGGGATTACAGGTGTGAGCCACCGCACCCAGCCAACTTATTTCTGTTATATTAAAAAAAAGGCAGAAGGGACTTGACTGCCTTCGATTTACTGTTTGTGTGGATCTACTTTACAAATGCAGATTTCAATAGTACACAGACATCTTGCAGAATAAGCTAGATGCTGGCTTGTTTCTGCATTTGTTAAGGATATGAGGTTTTAAAATTTAATTTCCTGAGTATTAATACTAAAATACTATATTATACCCCTTGATATAATTGAAGAGCTTTCAGATATCTGACGAGTCTCATTCTCTAATTCAGAATCTTGGAAGGCACTGGGTGTTCAAAAAAGGTGGATCTTAACTGAGGACCCTCCATTGAACCATTGTGTGCACCCCTGGCTCTTGGGCAGTGTAGTAGCAGGAAGGCAGGGTTGTTGCTATTAGAAATGGAGGCTTTAACGCTCCCTGTCCACCATCTAAAACTTTGCCTTTTTGTTTTTTCAGATTGGACTGGCTAAGGACGATCAGCTGAAGGTTCATGGGTTTTAAGTGCTTGTGGCTCACTGAAGCTTGTGAGGATTTCCTTGCAATGAGTAGAATTTCCCTTCTGTCCCTTGTCACAAGTTTAAAAACCTCACAGCTTGTATAATGTAACCATTTGGGGTCCACTTTTAACTTGGACTAGTGTAACTCCTTCATGCAATAAACTGAAAAGAGCCATGCTGTTTAGTCTTGAAGTCCCTCATTTAAACAGAGGTCAAGCAGTAGGTGCCTGGTAATGTCAAGCTTGAAACCAAGGAGTACCATCATGTTTCAGCCAAGCCCAGAGCCCAGCAGACAACCATGGCCAGAAACTCCGCTCTCCCTCTGCAGAGTTCCCTGCCCTAAGAGAATGTTACCACCTGAACAGTCAGTGAATCTGAGAGGAGAGGATGGGGTAAGGCAGCACCAGCAACTGTACCACTAGAAGGGAGCCTTTGGTGGTAGAAGATCCCCTGGTGTCTCCAGCCTGACCTGGTCAGAGTTCAGAGAGGCCCCCTTCCCTCTAGTGAGATGATAGGACATCTGGCTTGCCACAAAGGTCTGTTTGACTAGATGTATCCTAGCTAAGAGATGTCCAAACATCAGAATGTGTGGCCAACCTTCTATCAGAGTTAAACTTTTGACAAGGGAACAGATCTGAAAGTGATGAGTCATGTAGCTAGCTGTAGAGCTTGCACCTTAATAGCAGTGGCTGCCTAATGCCATGTGAAGTAACAAACTGGTTTTTGGTTTTTTTCCCCTTTCAGTTTTAATGTTACGTGTAATGTATTTAAACCCTTATTTAAATAAAACTTGTTTTCAGAAATACCTGACTTGCAGATTCTATTTATATATAGTCGATCTTGTGAATATAAAGGAACCACAGAAATGAGTAGTGGTGGGTATGTCTATACCCACAGCTTCTCAACAGGGCCTGAACTTGGCCAAGAAAACCTTTATGAGTTTGTCTTTCTCTGGTCAACTATTTTTCAACCTTTTTTTTTTTTTTTGGTCTCTTGTTTTGAGATGGTGTGCAGGGACACAGTCACTACAACCTCTGCCTCTCGGGTTCAAGCAATTCTCATGCTTCATCCTCCCTAGTAGTTGAGATTACGGGCACTAATTTTTGTGTTTTTAGTAGAGACAGGGTTTAACCATGTTGGCCAGGCTGGTCTCGGACACCTGACCTCAAGTGATCCCACCTGCCTCGGCCTCCCAAAGTGTTGGGATTACAGGCGTGAGCCACCCTGCTCACCAGGTCAACTATTTTTGCAAGTATTTACCCAGAGTCATGCTGTCCTGTTTATCAGTGTCTTGGAAGAAGGGGCTGCATGGCTGAGACTCTTGGCTGCCAACAGCCTGAATGACACAGTGGTCTCTGGGCTATCAATGTTAGCTGTGGAGGAACTCTGATAGATTGCTTGGAAACCTTGGAGCCCCCTCAGTAACAGCCTTGGTTTAAGGGCACAGAAGGAAGGAGATGCAGGCTCTGTAGCAAGGACAGTCATGCTGTGGGTTAAGATCCACAAATTGCTAGGAGTGTGTACTCTGGGTAGTGAGTTTATAGTATTTGAAGAGCTGAAGTTAAGTGTTGGGAGGCCATCCCTCACAAAGGACAATGAGTGGCAAGTAAAAGACCAAGTTCTGATCCTGGGTCCGTTAATTTAGTTTAAAAAGTTCTCCCGCGCTGGGTGTGATGGCTCACATTTGTAATCCCAGCATTTCAGGAGGCTGAGGAGGGTGGATCATCTGAGGTCGGGAGTTCGACACCAGCCTAACCAATGTGGAGACACACTGTCTCTAACTAAAATTGGGTGGATATGGTGGTACATGCCTATAATCCCAGCTACTCGGGAAGCTGAGGCAGGAGAATCTTGAACCCAGAAGGCGGAGTTGCGGTGAGCCAAGATTGCACCATTGCACTCCAGCCTGGGCAACAAGCGAAACTCCGTCTCCATTAAAAAAAAAAAAAAAAAAAAAAAAAAAGCCAAGCATGGTGGCTCACCCCTGTAATCCCAGCACTTTGGGAGGCTGAGGCAGGTGGATCACCTGAGATCAGGAGTTCGACACCAGCCTGACCAATATAGTGAAACCCAACCCTGTCTTTAAAAATAAATAATTCCCAGCACGCATATCTGGATATAGTCATGGGCTTTCTAAGGATGCTTCATTCAACAATGAGCCTCATACATAGCTGTGATACAATAAGATTATAATACTTTTTGGGGGGTGGTTTATTTGGGGTTTTTTTGTTTCTTTTTTTTTTTTTGAGATAGAATCTTACTCTGTTGCCCAGACTAGAGTTCAGTGACATGATAAATATTTTTTTTTGAGACTGTTGCTCTGTCGCCCAGGCTAGAGTGCAGTGGTGCAGTGTTGGCTGGCTAACCTCCGCACCCATGGCTCAAGCAGTTATGTGCCTCAACCTGTACCTTTAATGTGTTCAAATACGCAGATACTTAACATTGTGTTATAGTGGCAAGCTTATGTATGGCTTTGAATGTGGCCCAACACAAATTACTTTTTCTTTTTTTTTTAATTCACGTGGGTGCAGGTGGGCTAAGGCTAAAAAGGGCGTTAGCTTTTTTTTTTTTAAACACAAATTCTTAAACTTTGTGAAAACATGAAAATTTTTTTGGCAGTTTTTTTTTTTAGCTTATCGACTATTGTTACTGTATTTTACGTGTGGCCCAAGGAAGCCAAAAGATAGGACACCGCTGGCCTATAACATTCAGTAATGTGGTACAGGTTTGTAGCCCAGGAGCAACAGGCTGTGCCAGACACCCAGACGCGGAGCAGGCTGCGCCATCCACACCCAGGCGCATAGTAGGCTGTGCCAACTTAAATTTGTGTAAGTACATGATAATGTTCACAGAAAACACAACAGGCCAGGCGCAGTGGCTCACGCCTGTAATCCCAGCACTTTGGGAGGCCGAGGCAGGTGGATCACAAGGTTAAGAGATCGAGAGACCATCCTGGTCAACACGGTGAAACCCCGTCTCTACTAAAAATACAAAAAATTAGCCGGGCATGGTGGCGCATGCCTGTAATCCCAGCTACTCAGGAGGCTGAGGCAGGAGAATTGCTTGAACCCAGGAGGTGGAGGTTGCGGTGAGCTGAGATCACGCCATTGCACTCCAGCCTGGGTAACGAGCGAAACTCCATCTTCAAAAGAAAAACACAACATCACCTAACGATGCATTTCTCAAAACATATCCCCACCACAGAGTAATGCAAGACTACTAAGTTTACTACCAGCCCATTTTGTAGATAAAGGTATAAGGGGTGAGTTAGGTTAGAGGCCAGGTCAGGAAACCAGGTGAGGTGTGGAGGAGGGCTGGTGAGAGTCTGAACCCGTGGCAAGTGCCCTAAAACGGGTGATTCTTGTGTTGGAATACCACAGACTGCATAATGGATAGAGATGCATTTGGCTCACAGTTGTGGAGGCAGGGAAGTCCAAAGGCATGGCACTGGCGTCTCGTGAGGGCCTTCTTGCTGCATCATAACATGGTGGAAGGGCTGGAAAGCAAATGGGGGCCAAATCTATACTCCTGTTGTGGGCCTACTTCATTCATGAAGGCAGAGCCCAGGACCTAATTACCTTTTAAAAGTCCCACCTCGGCCAGGTGCAGTGGCTCACACCTGTAATCCCAGCACTTCAGGAGGCTGAGGCAGGTGAATCAGTTGAGACCAACCTGGGCAACATGGCAAAACCCTGTCTCTACAAACAGTGTAAAAGTGAGCCAGGCATGATAGCACATGCCTGTAGTCCCAGCTACTCGGGAGGCTAAGGAAGGAGGATTGCTCCCAGGAAGCCAAGGCTACAGTGAGCTGTGATTGTGCCTCTCAGCCTCCCGAGTAGCTGGGACCATAGGCATGCACCACCACACCCAGCCAATTTTTGTAGAGACAGGGTTTAGACGTGTTACCCAGGCTGTTTCAAACTCCTGGACTCAAGCAATCTGCCTGCCTTGGTCTCCCAAAGTACTGGGATTACAGGCATGAGCCACCACACCCAACCATCATGCCTTCTTAATTATACTTTTCTTCATTCAGCCTGAGATAGGTTACATCAGTTGGATGAGGGTGCTCACCAACTTCCTCAGTTCTTTTTTTGTTTGTTTTTTTGACAGAGTCTTGTTCTGTCATCCAGGCTGGAGTGCAGTGGCACAATGTCAGCTTACCGCAACCTCCACCTCCCAGGTTCAAGTGATTATCCTGCCTCAACCTCCCACGGAGCTGCGACTACAGGCTTGCACCTCCACGCTTGGCTAAATTTGTATTTTTAGTAGAGATGGGGGTTTCTCCATGTTGGTCAGGCTGGTCCCAAACTCCCAACCTCAGGTGACAGAGTGAGACCCTGTCTCAAAAAAAAAAAAAAAAAAGGCACCCCACCTTCCAATAACTGTTCCATTGGCAATTAAATTTCAACATGGGTTTTGGAGGAAACATTCAAACCACAGCAGTGATTCTAACCCCAACATTAGGAACTTGTTGTGTGAAAGGTCCTACAAAACTGGTCTGTTTCATGAACACAAAATAATTTAGCACTTAGCTCCAAGGCTCCAAGTACAGTGGCATTGTTCAAAATAGTTGGGCGATACTTTCAAATGAGTAAGATTTGACCGTAAAGTAGAAAGAAGGGCTTTTCACAGAGGAAGCTCTAGAACAAGGCTGGAGGCCAAATGCACAAAAGACCACAATCAAGATGAAACAGTAAGAGAAGAGAATTCCTTCTATGCTGTAGGTTGTGAACGCTAGGCTGTTCCATCTCATGCTTTTTAAGGCCCTCCAGTTCTCTAGGATGGGATTATTCCAAGTTAAACCATCAACATCTATTAAGTCAGCTCTGTGGAGCCAAGCAAAGCAAGTATCTGTGAATGTAAAACTGAGGAAGTTGACCAGATGTGCTGTCTCATGCCTGTAATCCCAGCACTTTGGGAGGCCGAGGCGGATGGATCACCTGAGGTTGAGAGTTCGAGACCAGCGTGACCAACATGGAGAAACCCCATCTCTACTAAAAATACAAATTTAGCCGAGTGTGGTGGCACAAGCCTGTAGTCCCAGCTCCTTGGGAGGCTGAGGCAGGAGGATCACTTAAACCCAAGAGGCAGATGTTGTCATGAGCTGAGAATGTGCCATTGCACTCCAGCCTGGGCCATAAGAGTGAAACTCCATCTCAAAAAAAAAAAAAAAAACCTGAGGAAGTTGGTAAGCACCCTTATCCAACTGATGTAACCTATCTCAGGCTGAATGAAGAAAAGTATAATTAAGAAGGCATGATGGCTGGGTGTGGGGGCTCATGCCTGTAATCCCAGCACTTTGGGAGGCCAAGACAGGCAGATTGCTTGAGTCCAGGAGTTTGAGACCAGCCTGGGCAACATGACTAAAGCCCATCTCTACAAAAAGTACAAAAATTGGCCAGGCATAGTGGTGCACGCCTAAGGTCCCAGGTACTCAGGAGGTCAAGGTGGGAAGATAGCTGGAGCCCAGGAGGCGAAGGTTGTAGTGAGCCAAGATCCCACCACTGCACTCCAACCTGGGTGACAGTTAGACACTGTCTCAAAAAAAAATATTGTCTCCACTTGATGGTTGAGAAAACCATGTGATGTGGACATTCCCAAGGTTAGTAAGTTGTGGAGCCTCATCTACAACCCCAGACTCCCCGTATGCCACTTCTCCCTCCAGCTGGACCTGCACATTCACAATTATGTGACTCATTTTCCCGGCAGAGCAGGAGCAGAAATAAATAAATAAATGCTCATTTTTACAGAGATTGTTGAGTGGTTGGTATCTACAGTACACTTGGGGCATGTCAGGCAGACCCC